TAAATAATTCATTTCGAATTATTTAAATACTTTTAAGAAAATACTTATTTAAATTAAAATACATATAAAAATACGTATAAAAATACGGGGTATTACATCTATAATGTAGGAACATTAATTGAAAGGGATTTGATATATGAAATCATAAATTATATAAATGGTCTAGATTTTTAGAGAGGATCTCACCTATGTTAGAAACAGACAAAGCTCGAAGATGTGATCTCAAGAAGTTGCCAACAATTAAAGATGTAGCACCCTAGGTCTTGTTTTGTTTCTTTCCCTTTTGTTTTCTTCATGATGGACTAAGAGATTCATGCTTTCGAATCTACTTATTATGTACTTTCACTAATTAATGAATAATAATTCTATTTTCAAGTATGTCTATCTTGTTCTCTTTTCAATCACTTTGCTGTTATTAGCTCGAATTTAATGAAATACACATACAAATAGGTAATATAAAAAAAGGCATACATACTCGACACTTTAAGAATCTTGATGAGCTTTGGCTTACAAGATTTATCGAATCAAAACAGATCCTTCTTTTGCCCCTCCAAGAAGGGATATGATGAATATACACCAACACAGGAGGCAACTTGAAACTCCACGAAGATGATCCCATGTTTTTAACCTTAGAACAAATCCATCTTTTTGGCAGCCTTTTGAGCCTCGTCAATTGAGCCTTGCTTATTCAACCTACATTATTCCAAACCTTGGGATGGGAATGGTGCAAAGAGATACAATTGAAAAATTGGGGGAAAGAAACATAAGAGTGGACACAAAGTTAGTCTAAATCTAAAAAGGAAAAAAAAAAACTCTTATGCAAAAGACAAAATCATTCTAAACCCAAAACCAAACTTGTCAAAAAAAAGAAGAAAAAAAAAGAGAGAGGACAAGGAAAAAGGCACCTAATGTAGGAGTTGTTAAATACACTAGAAAGGTTTTAATTTGAGAAGCACCAAAATTAAGGGATTAAGGGAGTGCACTTAAGCCCGTCCATTTTTATTATAATCCTAAGCCTAGCCATGTTACTACTTTGGAAAGCCCTCCTTGAGGTAGACCATAACCATGTACCACGAAAGTCATCATTCTACAGTAATATGGCCCACCTTAGGCCTTTGCACATATGGACCTACTATTGAGTATTTATGCCCATTCATAAAGTGCATGAAGTGTTGAGCAATGATTACAAAATCGGAAAAAAAAAAACCAAAATAATTGGGATGATTTTATAGCCATTAGCTTGATTACATCATTTTATTAGAGCAATCGAATCAAATTTATTCGATGTTTTTCATATCTTTTGCCAAGAAAATTAAGATGACTATCACTTTCAAAACAATCATCTTATTTTCTATTAATAATAGGGCTATTTTTACCAAGATGATCCAAGTCCTATATACATTGCGTGCCTAAGCCAGAAAGAAAACGAGTGAATACGGTTAATTGATTTGATACATTGACAACCTCGACGTCAACTTTAGATGTCTCTTACTTCTCTTGAGAATTAGCCATCTCATTTATCATGACCGCCTGCGTGGGATATCCTAATCCTCTCTAAGCGAGGAACATTGATTAAACATGATCCCTACATGGAAAAAATGATCGTTATTGCTATTACATGTATACCTCACTGCCAAGTCATCACGATGATGATTCAACTATTAAGTCAATAATCCTTGCTTTTCGAAAACATGTCTAATTCTCTTTCTTCTTTGGGAAAGTTTGATTCTCCTTCCTTTTAATGCAAATCCGTCTTTTTTGTTCATGTCTTTTTTAGGGGGTAAGTCGGGATGATCCCTCCTATTTGGCAATTAAAATACCCTAAAAGATGGTATGATTTTTTGCTTTGCCTTAACTGGGGGCTAAGAAAGCCATGACATCCTTACTTCCCTCTATTTATAGATTTGAACATGCTAATTATTATGTTACAAAATCAATGTCATGCAAAACTTATTACGAACCATCTTAATAAATTTAAATGACAAAGGGAAGAATACTACTTCTTATTATTTGACCAAGATGATTATGTTACTTGATCAAACCGTAATTCATGATAAACATAAGAAAAATACAACAAATTGGAAACACAAATTCCAAAGGTTTCGAATATGAGAAACATACCCTAGCATATGTATACATGAATTCCAAAAGCCACCCAAGTGTGCACTTGGGGGGCCTACAAAAATATAGGTCAATTCTAACTTTCGTTTTATATTAGACCATATTTTGGAAAGTGATTCGAATGTTTTTATAAATTATTCTAACACTCCATCAAACCTAAGTTTGATAAATATTCATATTTCAAACCATGGTGTCTGCTTAATGGGAAGAACTTCACTTTCAATTAGCAAAATATGACAGTGATGACAAACACTAACAAAGGAGAGATAACAAGCTAGATATACAAGAGTTTACTCACATTTTCATATCTTTTTTGAAATAAGTTACAAATTTCAACTTGCCTTCATCAATTTTTAGACAAAAAATCACACTCAATTACGAGCTACGCTTTTCTTTCCATTTTGGGTCCAGTTTCGAAAATAACATGTTTATGTATTTTGCGTACTAGAAATAGTATCTTCACTTTATTTTCAAAACGAACTTTCATTAAATTTATTGGACCCTCTCCAAAATGTTTCCTACTCTCTAAAAAAAAATTCTTCAAAATTCCCTTTCTGAAATTTTTTTCATTTTCTCAAAATAAATAAAATTTCAGATTTTCCATAAATATTTCCCAAAGGAATGAACTAAGATTCGACTTCTTCTTAACTCAAACATGTTCTCGCCTAGTCATCCTGCGAATATTGGCTTAAGGATGGTAAACAAATCATCTAATAGACCAAAAAAAGATTGATAAGAACGAAGAAAATATTTGATGTTCTAAATCAACTTTGAGAATAATATCACTGCAATGATCTCTACGAACGTTTTGACATTAGCTAAAAATGCGTAAGACATGTCATTATCCTAAAATGTTCTCAAAACGCAGAACATGGGATAAATAGGCCCGTTCCCACATCATGATGATATGAATGGGCTAAACAATAGCAAATCATTAGAACTACCCCAAATTGGGGGCTCCAAGACTTGGGAAATAGCAAGAATGCGCAGAGCCCGACACATGGGGGCTCCAATATCCATAACAAACAAAATAAAATATTCATGCCATTCAAGCTACTCTAGAGAATCGCCTAAACTATAAATGGTTTACATAGATCTCGAGCCTTACAATTTTCAAATGCATCACAATGGTTTAATAATCATTTTGTTCCTTTGAAAACTAAGTTTGCAACTGAAATTGGCCATAGAATAAGCTAAAAATTCGAGCCATCTTCAAGTTCAACTTCAAAAACAAATCTTAGTGCATAATTATTGTTATTTCAATACTTTAATTTACTCTAAATATTAGAGAGTATGACTAGTATAGAGCAAAAGAAACACAATCATGAGTATCAAAATAATGAAGAAATCAAATACATACGACATGCTTGTCTATACGAAAGTTTAATACTCAACCATTAATCATGAAAATTGTATCAAGACACTTTATTGACATAAGACAAACAATTTCATGAGTTAAAACGTGAATAAAAGACTTCTAAGTTCAAAATTAAGAGGTCTTCATTGTAAATTCTCTATTTGTACGAATGATAAAATTGAAACATTGAAATTTTGTAAAGAGGATGATATCTATTTTCTCAAGCATCAATCAATAACAAAATTTGAGCTCAAAAGAAAGAACTCAAAAGCAGCGAGAATAGAGGAAAAGTTTAACAACTACATTTCATTTCCCCCCTTACTTGTTCTAACGAATGACCAATAGCAAGTTTCCTTTGTTAAACTATAAATGGTCGAAAACGATTTAAACACTCATTTACTCATTCCCAAGATCCTAGTTGTTATCATAATAAGACGAAACACGGGATTTCTAAGACCCATTTCAAGCAACATAAATGAAAGGGTCTAATTCTAAAAACAAGTCATTGAAGCCACCCAATATTGGGGGCTGCAACACTCGAAAATATAAGATGGGGGCTCAAAAGCCCAAAATATAGCCTAAACTATACTAGTTCGATGATGTCTTCAAGAATTACCTAAACTAACTTGTTTATGTAAATCTTGAAATCACAATTTTATAAGTGAATAATAATAACTATTAATTGTTGTTATCATTGATAAAACTAAATTTGCAACATAAGCATGGAAAAAATAAACACGAGTCACAAGAACAGTTTCATGCCATTGTCAAGTTCAAAATTTCAATCCTAATTTTAATGCATAATTGTTGTATTAACACTTCAATTTACATTAAAATTAACAAGTATAGTCCATGTGAGGAAAAAGGAAATAAGTTCAAGCACGAATTCGAACTCAAACGAAGAAACACTCATATATGTTTGTATACGCTCATACAAGACTCGATACTTTACCATTCCATGTGAAATTTGTTGCTAGATACTCCTTAAACATGTCACAACAACATAGAACAAATTCATGAAAACAAGCGAAATCTAATACTCCTAATTTCAAAAATTAGGGTTCTTCTTTCGATTTTCGTCATTTTATTGACCAAATTCAAAGTTTGGCACAATAAACAAGGAGAAGATTGGTACGACAGTCGCGTTTCTACCAAATATAAACCTAACTCTAACTCCTAATAATGAAGTAGGGTAAGTTAGGGTCGATCCCACAGAGAATTGGATTATTAAATTATTACTTGTGTATGTTAAAAACCCCTGATTTGAAGAATGACTATTACGATCTAATATATAAAACTACGGACTTGAAAATAAGCTAAGTACTGAGATATAAAACTAACAGTAATAATAAATATCAAAAATCAAGAATGACGAAATAGGGATCGAGAGATACAATATAGCATTGGAATATCGATTGATCATCGAATTATATAAATCATGTTTTTATCTCAATGTTAGCCGATGAACACAAACAAGAATTCGACACTTCCCTTAATTGCAAATAAACCAAACAAGCTCTTGGAGTATTGTCTAACTAACTAACAATCTAGAACAAGCTCTCTAGACTCGATTAATTAGCAGCATTAATAACTAGGAAGTAGCTAACTTAAGCCACAAATCTCACGAGCTCGGATTCGTGCAGCTTAAAGGGTTGATAATCATAGGCATCGGGCAAATTTTAGTCACCTATCAAACACCTAAGTGGTACTAAAGAGTAATAATCCGGACAATTACGTATCACAAATTAATATTCTAACAATTAAACTAGCAAACTAAACTAAAGATGGCCGGTCTAGAATATTTAACTAATTATTACCAATAAAACAAATTATCAATCCAATCAAGATATAAACATAATACTATCAAATTACCACATTCTTATTCTCACAATACAATAATCCAATGTATAATAATTCCCCGTACCCACTAGTAATCTAGCCTAACATATCAAGAATTGAAGTACTAACAATGACTCTTATATATATTTCTGAAGTAGAAGATAAATAACTATAATGGAACAAATGGTAAAATTATTTGACAAGATCTAATAACCGAATGAAATATTAAAGACAAAAATAACTTAACAATTACCCATGAACTGAAATTCTCAGTGCAAAATTTATAAACAATCAATTAAAGTAAGAATACCAAATTGATGGATGAAAGAACCATGAACGGTACTCCCACCAAGTTTCGTTGCTGCAGCCAAAAAACTACCCAGATGTCCTCGAGAGTGTCGCCACAAAGTACAGTTTTCAACCCCACCAAATTTGTTGATTTCGTAGCAATTAGAGCTCCAAAACGCTGCTGGTTTTCCTCTCGTTTGTTGCTAATTTTTGCTGCCAATAAGCTCTCAAGATAAGTTCCAAAATTTCTCCCCCCGGATTGCCAAAATACACCTCTTTTGCTTTTTGGATCTTTTCCTATCCCGAATTTCTTGCTCTCATCCTCATCTGATTTCATCCTTATCTTCTGTTTTTAGAGTTGATTCCGCAAGAATTGGCGGGAGTTATATTTGTGGTTTAACCGCAAGAACAATGAGGTAATTGAAAGGTTTTGAGCTGCTCCTATTTTAGATTGTTTTGAAAGAGTGGAATTGATGTACTTTAAAGCCCACGTGGCTATTTGCTACTTTTAACCCAAACATTGGTAAATTGCACTTTGATACCAAAATCTTCCTTTCTACAGACAAATAAATAAAATAGTAGTAGCTCATGTCTTGGGAATAAAGCTGCTTAATATTACTCTTAAATCATTAAAAGCCATTATAAAATTAAAAGTCTAATGAAATAAAATAATATACTTTTATGACCCTATCAAACACCCCCAACCTTATAATTTTACTTGTCCTCAAGCAAAGACATGAAATTACAGAGGGATTAAATTAGACTCTTTACACATCAAAAACAACTAAAGATTCAGTAATATTCACTCCACTTTGCTCAATAACAGCGTCAAGTTAAGTAAATATGCAGAAGGAAAATCATTTTTATGATTACAAAATCAATTACCATCTCTTAAAACAATTACAACCTACCTTCCGTCAACAATGTAGTGGAGTAAATCAAAGATCCTTAGGACTTGAATCAAGGATAAAATAGGGCCAAGGTAAAGTGAGGTTTTAGAGAGCACTCGGGATGTGGTAAGAAGGATTAAGATTAGCAGAGCAAAATATATTAAACCACAACCACCACATAAGAACTCATATCACAAGCCCTTCAAACTTCATGATTTTTTTTCTTGTGTTTCACGACTCTTAATGTCAAGTACTTGTTAAGTAACCCATGTAGCGAGCTTTCTACTAGTGACTCCCGGTCCAGTTGGCCCAAGGCACTAGGTGTTTCGGGGTTTATGGAGTCCCTCGGGAGAGTTACAATTCCAAGAATGCACGTCGACCGTTTGTACCTGCAAAACCACGGAAACTCCGGTTGGATGGAGTTCCGCCTCCGACAATCAAGTTAAAAACGTTTTCGGATGTATAAATGCGCGGAATATAAAGGTTTTTTTCTTTGATTCAGAGAGAATTTTGCAATTAATATTACTCGGTTTTTTGTGTTTGTATTTATGAATGTGTAATAAATGAGGATTTTCCTCTATTTATAGTGGAAGGGGATCAGTTCCCCTTTTAGGGTTAAGGTGCCACGTCTCAGCGGAGGATTGGATCCCCTTGGGCCTCTCTGAGGCTGACATGTGTCAGCATGCCATTGGGCCACGTGGAAAGGGTATTTTTACCCTAAACATTTTCCCCTCACAAGTGTGACATGGCTTGCCACGTGGCACCTGTGACAGGTGTCACATTCTGGGAAGGTGACGGTTCGTCTCCTTCCCTCTCTCTTTTTCTTTTTCTTTTTTTTTTGGATTCGAATTTCGAATTTGAACAGGGAGGTGACGGTTCGTCTTCAGGGTTCTTCTATAAGTAGAAGCCCTCCTCCTCTCATTTTCACACTTTGCAAATTTTCATTCTTGAGAGAATTCTGAGAGAATGCTCTGATACCGGCTGCTATTGCATTCACAACCATCTTCTCTTTCTTCACTCATCCGGCTTCCGTCTGAGTGTTCTTTGCTCAAACCTCTCAGATTCCGCCTGACTTTAGTCAAGCTTCTTCCCTTTGCTCTCAGTATACCCACATCCGGTCACAACGTTTGGGGCATCTTCAAGCCACTTTCTTCAAAACCGCCAGAGCACCCTTTTATTTTCCTTAGCCTTCAATACACCCACAGCCGGTCATAAGCCACATTTCAGAGAAACGGCTGGGTTGCTTCAACAATTCAGTTGCTCTTTGAAGAGGGTACATCCGGGCTACCATATGGGGTATCACCAAGCAATAAATCAGATTTCCGGCTGCTGACTTCAAGAAGTCAACCGTCTTCAGATTTTTACAACTTTAAGGTACTGTCTCTGCCCCTTGCAACTTTTTTGCGCTTTTTCTGGTTGTATAGGTTGTTAGTGAATAATGGACTCACCCAACACACACACGGCATGGCCTAGGATAGTTGTCAATCGGTCACCAGGCACGGCTGAGTCTAGGACTAGGGATGCCGTCTGGGGGTGTTTGGACCTCCCTTACTCATCTGCGAATCCGACCGTCTCTGTTCATGTGCAGGACAGAATGGCTCGGACTAGACGCATGGCTGTAGACCCCGAGTATCAGTCAGACGGCTCAGCCGAAGCTCCTGCTGATGATCTACCTTATGACCAGCCGGGCGTGCCTAGCACGCCCGGTGATGAGATCTTGGAGGAATCCGAGAGTTTAGACGGCAAAGAGACCGTCCAGCAATTAGACTCCACTAAGTCAACCATGGAACCGGATGCCCCTCAAGAGGACGAGGAGGCATATAAGTGGTTTTCTATAAAAAATCCAACAGAGGCGCATATGAGCGCTCGGGATGTGGTCACTTTGAACGCAACCCTTCCGGCATTTTTGGAAAAGCGTCCGGTAGGGGCCGAATGGGAAATTGTTGTGCCGCCCGTAGAGGCATTCGTCGTCTGGGAGGACGACCTTGACCACATCGATGACTACTTTGGTTGCTATGAGGCAGCATTCAAAGCCGGCCTCCGGTTCCCCCTTCACAACACAATAAAAGCCATTCTATGGGGTTACGACCTTGGTGTCTGGAAGCTAACACCCAACTTATGGATGAACATACTAGGATACATCGCCGCCTGCGAGATGCAGGACATAATGCCTAGCTAGGAGGTGTTTGCACATACGTACTACCTCAGTCGTGCCCCAGGCGGCTGGAATGCGTGGAATACATTGACCACGCCTCCGGAATATATGATGACGCTCGATAAGTCGTCTAAGTGGAGTAGCTGGAAGAGCAAATTTTACATGGTTTCTTCCCTCTCTCCACAACTTAACCACCGGCTGCGTCGCTACAACACACTCCCGACTCTCCTGGGAAAGAAGTGCGCCCTTCCCAAAGTACCGGAGAGGCCTTTGGATGATGGGACAGAAGTCATTGTCCCTAAACACTAGGTCCCTCATCTGGAATGACTTAAGGACGAGGCGTTTCTTTCTGCCTGTGGCCTTAGCACATTTTGGAGCAGAAGTATGTTGATTGTTAACCGATACTTTATGCCGTCTGTATCATGCTTGAATGGTTTTTTATTTTTGACTTTTCTTGCAGAGAAAGGATTAGAAATGGTGCCTCCTGAAAAGACACCGGCTAAATCTGCTGCTGAGATCCGGAAGGATCAATTAGAGAAAAATAGGGCCCAATTGGCGGCTAAAGATGATGGGGTAAGCGCCGGCTGAGCTCTTTACCGTCTGTATTATTTGTAGCTTATTTTGATACTAACCGGTTGTGTTATTTTCTTTTGCAGACGGGGAGCAAGAATGTTGTTCCATCAGGCAAATGCTGAAGAGACCGGGAGAGGAGCCCTCCCATCCTGCTTCTAAAAGCCGGAGGGTTCCGGATGCCCCTGCCTCTGCCGGAAGGCGGCCGACTCCTAAGAGGCCTACCTTAGCAGGCAAAAGCCTGAAAGATCTAGGTTTGAGCTCAAGGCCGGCTGAGGCCAGAACTGGGAAGCCCGAAGTCTCCTTAAGGCGGGTGCTTGCTGTAGCATCCGACTCTAATGCGGCTGGGGGTGGTGTGACCCTTCTGCCTGAAAATCAAGGTACTGCTCTCACCTTTGATCCCACCTGGCCGCTTGGGCCTCTACGAGTCAACTCCCAAGCTATCCAATCAGGGGATTCTTCAGGCAGCCGGTAGAATATAGGTGCCGCATATACTCAATACTTAACCGATAAATCTATTGATGCAGATGCCTCTTCTCGTTGGCCGGATCTTCAAAATTACGCCAAGAGAATGTTGAGGACCCTTACCCGGTCCGAGAAGGAGGCGGTGCCGACTGTGCACCAGGTCAACCTTGACCGCCTTACTGCCCTTCTTGCTGAGGTAATTTTGCTGGTTGGGGTATTGAGAGCCAATCTGGCTTGCCACCGACTGGTCTATACAATGTATTTTCATCTTTTCCCTGTTGCACATTATTTGAATGATCTAACCCTTTTTCGGCTGTTCTTCCAGACAATGATCAGAATAGAAGGCCTCAAGGTTCCCCTGAGAAAGAAGCAGGAGGAGGTAAGGGATGCCTAGAGAAGGGCAGTCGAACTCATTGATGTTATGCAATATAACTCCCTAATGTATGAAATCCAAACTAAAAGCCGGGAGATGAAATAGGAGGAGCTTATTAAGGAGCTCACGGCTGCTGCTGATGTGGCCAACAAGAAAGCAGCCGACTTTGAACTCCAAGTTAAAACCTCCATGCTGACGTCAAAGCCTTGGGGGATGCTGACAAGGAGAACACTTAGCTGGGGGCTAAGGTCGACCGGCTGAAGAATGAGCTGGCCCAGACCTAGGCGACCACAAAGACAAGTTGTTGGCTGAACAAGACCGGCTGGTTATCGAGAACGAGCACGACTGAGAAGAGCGCATGAAGATGGCCTGATCTATGATCCATCCGGACATCGACTATGTCTTTTTTGATCTGCGGTACAAATATGCCACTGAGGTATTTGAAGCCCAGGTTCTCAGGACCGAGAAGCCGGCGCCCTTTGAAGAGTGGGCCGGCATTCCAGAGGAGGAAGAGGAGCAGGCGGAAGATCAGATGTCAGGTGGGGCTACCAAAGCCCAAGCCCAGCAAACTCAAGAAGCTCTTCCTTCCGGCCACGGCTAGCCGTCACAGCCATAGGAACAACAACAGCAATAGCTTTATTTATTCCCTTCATTATTTCTACTTCCGGCCTACGAGCCGTGTATTTTAAGATGTATCTGCTTCCCCCGACATAGGTCCGGCTGACGATCTTTTTACTTTTAATATATTTGCCGACTGAGTTGGTTTTGCCTTGATATTATTTGCTTCAATTTTTGCAGTTTTTGCCTCGTACAAATCTTTCTTTTTAGCCATTTGAATTAATACATGCGGTAAGCCAGATGCATTGGCTCTGCCTGCCCCTGGATTGTTGTTTGCTTATTATCCAACTCTAAGCAGGCAGCCGTCCACACAAGAATCTAGACGAATAGATAGGCGGTCCTTGACCGTATTTAAAATAGTACTCTTTTAACCGGCTGCGGGTTACCCTTTGGGTATCCTTCATTGTCGTTGGTTGGTATGTAAGCGTCCATTAGCCAGACGTATGCATAGTAACCAAGTTATGGATTAAATGCTAAGGTTTTGA